TAAAATGATTGATGCACGTTTTTTATTGATTTTTTTTCTTTTTTAAGTTATAAAGAAAAAATATTATTTTTTAAAAAATAAAATCTTTTAGAGATCTATCAAATTGGCAGTGGTTTTTTTTCCCTTTTTCAATTCACGTAAGTTTTACACTGCTATTAATTTAAATAAGTTTTGTAATGTTAAATAAGTTTTAAAATGTTAATTTAAGAAATATTTTAAGTTTATATTTCATTTTTTTTTAATTTTTTTTCAATTATTATTTATTATTTAAAATATATTTAAAAAGGTTTCATGAAAACTGATTAGCAATTTAAATACATTGTTATCAACATTAATAACAACAACAACAACATACCCAGTGAAATCCCACTAGGTGGGGTCTGGGGAGGGTAGAGTGTACACAGACCTTGTCACTACCTCGTGGAGGTAGAAAGGCTGTTTCCGAAAGACCCTCAGCTCAAGTACATCAAATCCAAGTAAAAGGAGAGGAAAACAGTGTATAAAACATAACATCCAATAATAAAGATAGTATATAATCAACAAAGGAGACAATAGCATCAATAAAATAATGTGAGAAGTGAAACGCAGTAAACAACATAAGGCTATAGGTATCACAGACAAGAACTACAAGTGCAAGGCTAGGACTACTACAAACGCTAACAACCCATACCCTCGCAAGGAAAGACAACACGCTAACCCTACTAGCCTTCGACCTTAATATGCGACCTCCACTCCTTCCTATCTAGAGTCATGTCTTCGGTAATGTGAAGCTGAGCCAAGTCCTGTCTAATCACCTCTCCCCAATACTTCTTAGGCCTACCTCTACCCCTCCGCGTACCCTCTACAACCAGCCCCTCACACCTCCTCACTGGGGCGTCTGCGCACTGTCTCTTCACATGTCCAAACCATCTCAGTCTCGCTTCCCTCAGCTTCTCAACCACAGAGGCCACTTCCACCTTCTCCCGAATAACCTCATTCCTAATCTTATCGCTCCTAGTGTGCCCACACATCCATCTCAACATCCTCATCTCCGCAACATGCATTTTTTGAACATGTGAGTTCTTGACTGGCTAACACTCCGCTCCATACAACAAGGCCGGTCTAACTACCACTCTGTAGAACTTACCTTTAAGTCTAGGTGGAATTTTCTTATCACACAAGACTCCAGAAGCAAGTCTCCATTTCATCCAAGCAACCCTAATGCGATGTGTGACATCATCGTCGATGTCGCCATTTCCTTGGATTACAGACCCAATATACTTAAAACTTTCTTTCTTAGGAATGATCTGTGTGGCAAGTCTCACTTCCACATCTGCCTCATCCAACGCATCACTGAATTTGCACTCCAAATATTCTGTTTTGGTCCTACTCAACCTGAACCCTTTGGACTCCATCGTTTGTCTCCACACCTCCAACCTCGCATTAACTCTGTCCCGCGTCTCATCAATCAGTACTATGTCATCCGCAAATAACATACACCATGGGACCTTCTCCTGAATAGACCGCGTCAACTCATCCATCACCAAAGCAAATAGAAAAGGGCTAAGGACTGATCCTTGGTGCTGCCCCATCTCAACTGGGAAATGTTCCGAGTCACCTCCAACCGTTCTAACCCGAGTCTTGGCTCCACCATACATGTCCTTTATCGCCCTAATATAAATCATCGGGACACCTTTAGCCTCCAAGCACCTCCAGAGGACGTTATCAACATTAATATAATATTATATTATTATTACTTTTATTAGTACTATAATTATTTATTATTATTATTACTATTTAAAAATTTACCTTTTAAAAATAGTTGGTTGCTCTTTTTTTATTTCTTTTTGTTTAATTTAAGATACATATTTAAAAGATTTTTAAATTATTTTTTGAATTTTAAAATTGTTGAATTTTTGTGGTGCTGACATGTGGCACTTTTTTCTTCTCCTATTATATATAGATAGATTATTAACAAACTTTAAGTTAATGGACTTGAATCACTACTACTCTATAGTTTGTATACAATTTTTTTACCTTCTTTATTTTTATATGTATTCTTTTACTTCTACAACATATATGGAGAAAAAAGAACAAAATAATAGTAGATGCATTAGTGAAGGATAAACGATTGGAAAATAGTTTATAACAGAAAAAAAATGTAACTCAATGGTTGTTTTAGTTTCATTTTAATTGTCATTTCATTTTTATTTTATTTAATAACAATCATAGAATATATTTTTTAAATTTTATTTAGATTAAAAGAAATTAAAAGGTCTGTTGCCAATAAATGCTTGTATGATTGTGTATCATAATTTACTACGAAATATTTGCTATGTACAATAGAAATAAAGGATATATATTAAAGCTTATCTCTTAGGAATAAATTATCTCTTTTGTTCAATATTAATTGTTAAGTTTCCAGGATGCTTTGATCATTCTCCTCTTTGCATTACATTGATGAAAGAAGAGGATATCAGGCATAAGCCGTTTAAATTCCTAAACCATCTAGCAAAGCATGAGAATTTTCAGGAGATAGTGCAGAGGGCTTGGCAACAAGGACGAAGTAATGGAATAATGCATGAGGTATGGAAGAAACTTCAGAATGTGAAAAGAGGTTTGAAAGAATTGAATAGTGTTGCTTTCCATGGGGTGCAAAGTAGAATAAGAATGTATAGACAACATCTGCATGATATACAATATACTATGAGAAATCTAGGACAAGTACATGACATTATTGTGCTGGAGAAGGAAGTTAAACTAAATTTGGAGAAATGGCTAAATATTGAGGAGAGTATAATGAAGCAAAAATCAAGGGTTCAGTGGCTGCAATTGGGGGATGGAAACACAACATATTTTCATGCTAGCTTGAAGAATAGAATAGCCCAGAATAAGATCACAAGTTTAATCACAAATATAGGAAGGTCTGTGACTAGTAGAACATAAATTGAGGAAAAGATTACAGATTTCTACAAACAATTATTGGGATCCTGTGCCACTCAACTACATGTTGTAAATCAGAAGGTCATGAAAAATGGTCTAGTCTTGAATAGAAGCCAACAAGCTCAACTGATTGCACTTGTTAGCAAAAATGAAGTGGTTATGGCTTTGAAGGGCATAAATGACAACAAAGCTCCTGGATGTGATGGTTTCAATGCATATTTTTTTAAAAAGGCTTGGGTGCACATAGGAGAGGACATTACCGATATTGTTCTACACTTTTTCTCCACAGGTAAAATGTATAAAGCCATTAATTGCACCACTGTGACTCTTATACCAAAAGTAGCTCATCTTTCCAAAGTATCAGAATATAGGCCTATTTCCTGTTGTACTTTATTGTACAAGATTATATCCAAAGTGCTAACAAACAGAATGCAGTGTGTGATGGAGGTTTTGGTGGATAAAAATCAGTCTGCTTTTGTGCTAGGCAGGATGATAAATGACAACATCATCCTAAGTAATGAGTTAGTCAAGGGATATGGGAGAAATGTAGTGTCACCAAGATGTATGCTTAAAGTAGATATGAAAAAGGCATATGATTCTGTTGAATGGAGCTATCTTAAACAGATAATGACTTATTTGTAGTTCTCTGAGAAATTTGTTGAGTGGATGTATCAGTGCATTAGTACAATATTCCATTCTCATAAATGGATATCCTAGCAACCCTTTTATTGCAAAGAAAGGCTTATGACAGGGGGATCTACTGTCCCCTTATTTGTTTGGTTTGTCTATGGAGTATTTGACAAGTTTGCTCAAGAAACTGAAGAATGATTCTAACTTCAATTTCCACCCAAAGTGTGAAAGAATGCAGATAGTACAACTCAGTTTTGCTGATGATCTTTTGCTGTTTAGCAGAGGAGATACTATATCAGTTAGATTGATGTTTGACATTTTTCAAGAGTTCTCCCTAGCTTCTGGACTAGTTGCAAATGCTGATAAAAGTTCCATTTATTTTGGAGGAGCGCCAACAAGTATACAAAATGAAATCCTTCATGATCTAGGTTTCTCACAAGGGTACTTACCTTTTAGATACTTAGGAGTTCCACTAAGTACTAAGAGGGTGTCTATTCTGCAGTATCAACCATTAATTGATAAGATCATGAGTCGAATACAGAGGTGGACTTTTAGATTCCTATCTTATGCAGGAAGGACTCAATTGATTAAGAGTGTTCTGTTCTCCATTCAAGTGATCTGGTCACAAGTGTTTGTGCTGCCCAAAAAAGTTGTCAAATGTATTGCAACATTATGCAGGACCTTTTTATGGACAAGAGGAGTAGATGCATCCAGAAAGGCACTTATTGCTTGGGAACATCTATGTAGTCCTAAAATTGTCGGGGACCTCAATATATTGAATATTCAAGCATGGAATAAAGCTGCAATAAGCAAACTATTATGGAATTTGAGCACTAAGAAAGATAGATTATGGGTGAAGTGGATCCACATGTATTATGGGAAACAAGGGACTATATGGGGTGTCATAACAACTCAAGCCTCATGGACGGTGAAGAAGATAATGCAGATGCACAAAGTATTTGAGACTATTGGCTGGAATGAGGAGTATGTCAAGCATATTGGAAAATTCTCCATCAAGCAGCTTTATAAAGCCATTAGAGGAGAATACCAGAAGGTGGAATGGAGGAGGTTCACATGTAACAATATTGCCTGCCCTAAGTGGATTTTCATCTTATATTTAGCCCTACATAGTAGGCTACTCACAAGGGATCGATTAGCAACATGGGGTTGTGTGGAAGATATTCAATGTGTATTATGTAGGAATGAGGATGAGAACCACAATCATTTGTTCTTTCGATGTTTGTTCTCATCACAGGTCTGGCAGAAGATACCAAGGTGGCAAAACATTAATAGGAAAGTTAAAGGATGGGAAGAGGAAACAAGTTGGGCAAATACATATTGTAAAGGTAAGCAAGCAAAGGCTGAGGTATATAGGATAACATTGGCTGCAAGCGTGTATCTCATCTGGCAGGAGAGAAACCAAAGAATTTTCCAGAAAACAGCAAAAACTCCGGCAATGCTGGCAAAATAAGTTGTCCAAGAAGTGCATATGAGAGGGAGAGCAAGCATATGATTAAACTGTGTACTATCAACTCTGAACTTTTATCCTGAATAGGTGCAATTTACTTAGCTAGAGTGGTAATGCGCAGTGAAGTCTGTTAGAATAGAGAGCTGATAATGCATAGTTTGGGAGATGTCCAATATGCATAAGTTACTGATTTGTATTGTTTCAGTTGGTAATGAAATTTTTTTATTTACCAAAAAAAATTGTTAAGTTTTTTTTAAAAAAAAACATTGTTGGTATTTATCTTGATAATATAATATAGCTAGTGTACTTGGCCGCGCTTTGCGCGATTAAAATAAAAGATTAAATATATTCTGAAATAATTAGTGTCATTACTTGATAAATATTTTAATAATAAATAATGCAATAAAAGAGAGGAAAATTAAGTTACGATTCTAATATGACCTATTCAAAGAAATTGCTAAAAAAAATTATGCTTAAAAACTTGAGCTAATTGATAATTCAATCATCATAGTTTCATACTAATTAAAGTTAATGATTTATAGCAATCTTATTAGTTCAATCACAATCTACTCCATCATAAATTACTCCTCATGTCCCATATTAGTTGATCGCTATACTAAAAATAGTTGTCACATATTAGTTGATCACCTTAATAAATCAACAAAGCATTAATTGATTTTGTTTTTTTCAAATTACCTTGCAATTAATTAAAGTGTTTTGTAAAGTTTCAAAAGAGTTCTTAGGGGTGAATTGGTAAAACTACCCACTTAATTATGATTTCTAAATATATGCGCGTAAAAAGAAAAGTCATCAACTAATATGGGACGAGGAAGTACATGATTTTCTATTTGTATAAATGACTATATAATGAAAATAAATAAATAAAGATATATGATTTCTTAATATATGCACGTAAAGAGAAAAGTGATCGACTAATATGGGACAGACGAAGTACATGATTTTCTTTTTTATAAATGACTATATAATAAAAATAAATAAATAAAGATATATGATTTCTTGTTTATGAATTCTTAATATATGCGCGTAAAAATAAAGTAAATAACTAATATGTGACAGAGGGAGTACATGATTTTCTTTTGTATAAATGACTATATAATAAAAATAAATAAATAGAGATATATTTGTGGTAAATCATGATGAGAGAATACATGAATTATATTGAACCCGATCCGGTTTCTCTTCATTATATTTTTTCTACATTTCATCAAGAGTATATATTTAGATGAAAGACATGTTCTATTTAATATTTATAGGTCAAGATTATATTACATTCCTAACCATAATTAAGTAAACAAAATTAGAAAAATACACTTCAAAATAGGTAAAATTCCACAAATTTTGAAGATTCATTAATACCATTAATTTAATCTTAATTTTATATTATTCAAAATATCAAAATTGTTGAACATGAATTTAATATGTTTAATTAGCCTGATAAATAGTAATCTTTTGAAAAATATGTCTTATGATTCACATACATACGTAAAAGAACAGGTAAAATAATTTTGAAAAATTGAATATTTTTTTTCATTGACACAGCAGCCTCCACATATTTATATATCAATAATATAAGATTTATTTATTTTATCTCCAAAAAGAGTAGCCTTCTATATTCAAATATTTAAAATATAAAAATATAAGATGATATTAATGTGTATCTAAATTTGTAGGAAATATTTTCTTACCGAATTTGAAAAGTACTTTTCAAAACTTATTTACTTAATTAATTGTGATTATGATTTTATTTATTTAATATAATCTTTACCTTTAAAATTTAAATAGGACATATATCTCTTATCTAAATGTATACTTGATGAAATAGAGAGAAAAAATAATGAAGAGGGGAACTGAATCCTATTCAAACATATTTACTCGTTAGTTAATAATTTTAGAAAAGAAAGGTCAATAGTTAACGTATCAAAGAGATAAATAAAATAGAAAAAAATACAGAAGAAAAAGGGAAGAGATAAAACACATTAAGGAGGTCACTATTAATTTTTTTTGTTAATGGCTATTCAAGGCTGCAAAAGTAATGGAGGTGTGTAAATATTTAAAATATATAAATATAAGATGATATTAATGTGTATCTAAATTTGTAGGAAATATTTTCTTACCGAATTTGAAAAGTACTTTTCAAAACTTATTTACTTAATTAATTATGATTATGATTTTATTTATTTGATATAATCTTTAACTAATTAATTATGATTATGATTTTATTTATTTAATATAATCTTTATCTTTAAAATTTAAATAGGACATATATCTCTTATCTAAATGTATAATTGATGAAATAGAGAAAGAAGATAATGGAGGGGAACTGAATCCTATTCAAACATATTTACTCGTTAGTTAATAATTTTAGAAAAGAAAGGTCAATAGTTAACATATCAAACAGATAAATAAAATAGAAAAAAATACATAAGAAAAAGGGAAGAGATAAAAACACATTAAGGAGGTCACTATTAATTTTTTTTTTGTTAATGACTATTCAAGGCTGCAAAAGTAATGGAGGTGTGTAGATACCATTTTTAAAAATGATTGACATTACAATATCAACAATTTAGTAATCAACTACCTTCACAATACAAAAATATTAGATATTTACTCTACGCATGAATTAGCATATGTTTCACAATAAAACTAAAAAGTTACATTTATTCGGAGGCAGAAATTTATAAGCAAACACAAAAAGATGAGGTGTATTGAAAGAGACTATTACTCTCTTAATCAGATGTCTAGTCGAATCTTGAGTATGAAAAAACTCTTTAGTAGGAAGTGCTCGCTCCAAATGGAGACTTGCGCATTGTGAATCCATATATAATCAGGCTTCAACGTGGATACCAAATACAATATAAAAAACCAAAAAATATATAAATTATAAGAACATTATGTAACTTTGCATGATAACCAAAGTTCAGACGTAGTTCTCACCTTCACAATATTCCATAAAAATTGATATAATTTCCATGGGAAGATCTTTTCAAATCATTTTGAACTTCCTGCCAAATTAGACAATATAAAGTTAGACATCTTTTCTATTAACTATTAGAATAGTATTAGCAAATCAACAAACTCAAAGAAATTTATAAAGAGAAAGAAAAGATTAATGGAAATTAAATAATGAAGTATGATTTTATAGGACCTTAATATTTTGGCTGTTGAAAAGCATTAATTGTGAATTTAGAATTGTAAATGATTTCTCCAATTATTATAGCCTTAATTTGAGGAAACGGTTAAGGGCTACTAATTACAATTAAGAATTGGAATTTTAAACGGTATGTTTTCTCTTTCTTAAACTTTAATTAATTTAAACCCATTAATTATTATAGCCTTAAATTGAGGAAATTAAACGGTAACAAGTTAGAATCAACTTAGGCTTGAAAATAGGAAAAAAAATCCTCCAAAAATATGAGAAAATAGATAAATACGTTTCCTGATCATTGGGGCATGCCATATCAACGGTCTGAAGATCCAGCTTTATATATATAAATAGATAGATTAGAACAATTAATGATGTTATAACTGGAGAAAAAAGAAGACATGACATTGATAGAGATCAAAAAATAATTTTTTAATAAAGAAAATGGGATAATTTCTTTAGGTTTCGCTCTATAATACTCACCTTTTCTGTAGTTTACGATATTACGCTTACATCCCTTATTTTAATTTTTTTTGTAACCATTCTTTAAAATTATTTAAAATAAATATAAATCAATTATAACTTGACAAATTTGTCCTTCTTTGTATTAATTTCTTCATATTAATGCATATTATTAAAAACATGACTTAATGAATAAATACTTTAAAAATAAATCAACACAAATAAGTTTATACTATAATATATATTATATAAGTATATATAAAAGTGTCCTTTTTTACCAAACAAAGATCACACTTCTTCATATTGATTTATTTTTAAAACTTTGATTATATAAGTCATTTATAAAAATAATCTGGATTAATATGAAGAAATTAATACAAAAGGACAAAGTTGTCAAATTATAATTAAATTATATTTATTTTAAATAAATTTAAAGAATGGTTACAAAAAAAAAATCAAAATAAGGAAGGTATATGTAATATTGTAAACCATAGAGGAGGTGAGTTTTATAAAATTAACCCTTAAAAAATTTAACCACCATGCGAAGCGCGGACGAATTCCCTAATTATCTTATATAAATGGACTTATTTGTCAAGAATATGCTCTATCACTAGAAAATATAACAGAGAAACACTGTAAATGTATCGAATATGTTCATTGATAGATTTATTATGACATAATATTAATAATTAAATATATTATAGGATTCTCCAAATTAATTAGAACGGATTGAAATTGTTATCTTCATTTTCCCTCTCTGGAACAACATTTGATGTGTTGTGTATGAGTAATGTGTATGCTGGTTCTTATTGGTAAGTTTCTCTTTTGTTTTTCATCATCTTATATTTTTTAGGAAATTTTTTAGTTATTGGTCATTTTTTTTTTCTTATTAATATATTAATTTGTTTAAATTTTTTCATTTTGTACGATATGACGACATGTATATTTTGTTACTTTTCACGTTAATTGGTTTGACATTATGAATATCTTCTCTATAACTTTCATTCTATAAATTTTCTTTTCATATATTTTTTAGTTTGTAATTATGATAAATTAATATATAGTTAATGTAATGGTCGATGAAAATTCTTATTGCATTGTAATTGGCCTATATCTACTCGTTGAGTCGAACTTGGTGGGACACAATAAGTAGTACTAGCATATTATCAAAATAAATTTGGTTTATATATTTTATATAATACTAAGGGTAAACTTGTAACACATCGCCGCAGCGGCGGAGCCATTATTAGGAATTTGGGGTTCTAAATTTTAGGACATAAGAGAACAATATTGCAAAACATGTCTCCTTTAAAAAATAGTGAGGTTTGAACACACAACACTAGTGTGAAAAACATTTCCATTGCCTCTTCCTTACCAC